GTAAAAATCCATCTCTGCTAGAATATCTCCTTAGATTGAAAAAATAATAACATCGATATCTCTATTTTCTTTCTTTCGTTTCTCCTTATGAGTGGAGATATGGATGAACCATTTCACCTTATTTTTAATTCATTTCTGCTGGTAAAAAACCAAAGCTGCTAGAATATCTCCTTAGAGTGAAAAAATAAAAACATCGATATCTCTATTTTCTTTCTTTCATTTCTCCTTATGAGTGGGGATGTGGATCAACTTTTGTATCTGGAATTGTTTTGACTTGTATGGTAAAAGAATATCCCCTTGACTTTATGGGGGTAAAGCGTTTCTCCTTGAATTGGAACAGTTTCTCTCGTGTCGGGGATATTGTCCATCCCTCAAAATTGTGGGTCAGAGCCTAATCGAGTCTGGATCGGGTCTAAGTCTGAACCTGGTCGGGTCTGAGTCTGAACCTGGTCGGATCTGAGTTGGGTACGGATCTAATAAATTGTTTTTTTCTCGGGTTTGGGTCCAAAAAAACGTGCACTCGCAGCGTTCTAATAGCTAGTACACCCAAATTTCCCACACCCACCCTCAAGATTTTTACAACAATATTTTCTCCTGAATAGTACATTCTAGGTGTTTCTCTCAAAACAGACATAATGTAGTATGTATTTTAATTCTGTCATAACTGGAGATATATGTGACCAAAGAAAACAAAGATTACGAGGCAATGGTTTTCATAACGGATATGAAAAAATACTGATGTTTGGTATTTTATGTATAGAATTCAAGGTTCTTCAAAATACCATGATTAAGTCCAAAATATAAAGATCTGCGGGAGAGAAAACTGATCACACCGAATATGCCGCTGTTTTCTCCTCTATAGATCATTATATTCTGAACTTATTCATGATATTTTGGAGATCCGTAAATTCTACTTACAAAACATCATCCATCGATATTATTTCACATTGATCATAGAATCTATTATTGCACAATCCTTATTTTCTGTCATCACGCATGTCTTTAATCAAAACATTTTCAGATAAATAATCTTATCAAAGTATAATGCCAATCAGTACCTATCTACGCCCTCGTATAGCAGCTGTTGAAACTGGCGTCGTTGAATTAAATCTGTTTCGAACTGGTATTCAAGATGACGCTATTGTACGAAATGAACGTCGATCAACTAGACTATTTTTAGCTCTTCTCAGTATTTCAATAGTCATTCTCGGACTGTATTACTCAGTTATAGGGTATAGAAAAACTATTATAATTCCATCCCCGTCAATCAGCAAATATTCTACTTTATCGAAAGAAGTTTCATTACAATGTCCTTGTACGAATGTAGCAGTGAAATATGCAAAATTCGTTAACATGACGCCTTTTTATCATGAATTATGTCGAAGTGATTTTGTTTCTGATCAATATATTTATCGACTCTATGATCTCTATGAACAAACTTTGAATACATCGATTTCAACAGATGTTCATCGAATAGCTGTGTTTCAGTTTCAGACACTTCGTACACTTTGCCAATTTGCACAAAACACAATTGATTATAGTCTCAAAACATTTTTACAAAATGAATTTGTTCAAACACAAGTCATTCCTTCGGAGATACTTGAAAATCAGATTGCACAATTAGTAGAAGATTTTATTAATGTGAAATCAAAACATTTTTTGAGAACATTGAAGTTCATTCAAAATGTTACAGCACAAAGTTTATTTATGACTGGTGCTTCAGTAACTAGTGTTAAACCCAGAACGCAGTCTCGAATGGGTTTTTTCGAAAATCTACCATATCCTGGAATCAAGTATACATTTAAAGATGGATCTTCTTGTACATGTTCAAGTTCTACTGCTAATACCTGCATGGGTTTGGCAACATTGAATAATAATGCTATTCCTGGTTTTCAAACAGGTTGTTATATGCTAAGCGCACTTCTTCATTCTACACTTGAAATGTGCTACAATCAAGTATTTATGGATATCTTAACTGACGCTTCGAATAAATATCAAAAACTCGATGGTTCAGATTCATATTCCACAGTTGAAGTATTACTTAGTCAAATGTTCATTACTCATTGGTCACATAACGCATCTTTTGAAAGCTATTTTAATCATTGTGCACCGACTCTATGTCAATATACAGTAACTTCGACACACGATTTCTGGTTTATTATCATAACATTGATAGGGTTCTTTGGTGGATTATCATTCGTGTTGAGAATCGTTGCACCTTTGTTGATTACAAAACTTTGGCCATTTATTTGGAAGTTAATTACTAGACGACGAAGGCCAGCTGCACAAATCGTAGAAATAGACGTGAATACAGGTATCTATCTATAATTATACTGTCGATCTCAGATAGACATGGTTCTTCATGAAAAACGTATGGACACACAATATTAAAGCTGTCTCCTCTCTTTTCTGAGCTGAGTCATTTTTCTTCGGTTTTCATGTTTAAAGATTTATGCTGGTGTACTCTATTTACGTCGTCAAAATTCTAACTAGGCTACATTTGAAAAGCATGTATCTTAGGAGAAACAGTTTACTTCAAAGGACTTCAACTGTTCAGACTTCAGAAAATAGTTTCAACTAGACAAAATGAAATGTGCAGTGTTGCGTGAGAAAACTTTTGGGTGTTTTAATCCCGAAAACTCTTGGAAGAAGACATCTGAAAATGTTGAGTATATGCCCATTTTTGCTTTACTCATCGAGATCTATCTGTTTTATTACATGCGATTGCATATGAAACAAGCTCAGATACTATTAGTATAAAATCGCGTTTTGAGCAAAATGTTTCATCTAAGTTCCATTCGCTTGAGTCAAACACGAAAAAATATTTATATAAGTAATTATAAACAGTATTATTCTTTAATCGTATTTTTTTCAGTCCTCTCCGTGAGTCAACGTCTAAAACGAATGTTGGAATTAATCAAGCAAAAATTGATTAATTTGAATTTATTTCAATGTGTTCCTCCAATACAAGATGAAAATATTCTCCGACAACAACGTTATGCTACACGACTTTCTATAGTTCTATCAATTATATCGTTAATTATTTTTACTATTTTCACATCTACTGATCCACAAACAAATCGTATTACTTCTAAATCTCCAACACCAGAAGAGTTTATTCAACTTCATAAGCAATATCCACAAACACTTGATTGTCCTTGTACTCAAACAACAATTGACTATCAATTCATTTTTAGTATCAAACCACAATATCATGAAATATGTTCAAGTGAATTTGTCTCTTCTCAATGGATCAATATTGAATTTAGTAAATCTTCGATGACAAATTTATTAACAAATGATTTTCGTTATCAATCTCAATTTCATTTTCAACTTTTATCAACATTATGTCAAATGGCTAATGAAACAATTCAAGATTCTCTTCAATCATTCTATCGAACTAAATTTGTCACAAATAAACTATTAATTAATGAATCATTTCAAACACAAATCGATTCAATCGTGGAAGATTTTAAAAAAAGTCTACCTGCATCATTTCAACGTATAATTCAATTGATAAAAACAAACTCCAAGATTAATCAATTCATTACACCAATGAATTCTATATTTAGTCCTGACGAATATCTTGCATTATTGCCTCTTACGCATAAACCATCAGAAGAATTATTAGACGAAACACATTTGTGCTTTTCATCTTCTGGTTTGCAATGTTACCAAAAGACCATGATAAAAGAAAACGAAATTAACAACATTATTCCCGGAATGATTCAATCGTGGTTTCCTTTTCAAGCACTTTTGATGTCAACATTAGAATGTTTATATAATGAAACATGTCTTTCTTACATAAAAACATTCATTAACTCAACTCAATCATCAATTAACATTACTACACTAAAATTATCATCATCATTGAAGAATAGTCAATATGATCGAATTGAAATATTAACTAATAATCTTTTTATTCGATCATGGGATAATGATAATTCCTATGGGTCATACTTTAATCAATGTCATGTATTAACATGCCAATACAGTTACAAAAGTCGATTGAGTTATATTTATGTTGTAACAAGAATTACTGGATTTATGGGTGGTATCAATGTTATTCTACATATATTATTGCCATTGATTGTTAAATTATTGATTAAAACTTGGAATTATATTCTTCAGCGTCAACGAAATAACTCCCACACAGTAAGAGTATCAATATCTAAACGAACCCGTACGAAAACTTGAGACAAAAATCTGATAGTAACTAATTAATATTATTCATTTTAGGATTTTGGACTTATCTTCAAGCTCTTTGGATATCTAATAAAAAAAAGATTGAAGAATTAAATCTCTATCCAATTATTCCACCATCAACAGATTCACAAATGATTCGTCGACGTCGACACATAACTCGAATCTATTTGATATTATTAATGACAAGCTTGTTCATTCTTATTAGTTATACATTATTGAAACAAGAGACAGTGGCAGACTCAGTTTCATATCCATCATTATCAAAATACGAAAAATTATTTGTTCAATATCCTGTAACATTACAATGTCCATGTAATCGTATTACAATCAAATTCAAGGAGTTTATATCTCAAATTGAACCTCAATATCATGAGATCTGTTCGAGTATTTTCGTCTCACAAGAATGGTTCAATAGCGTGCCTGACGGATTTCTATATAACATCAAAATGAGCAAAACTGATTTTCGTAAAATAATTCAGATGCAATTCGAGACTTTGTCAACACTTTGCAAAATCGCTCAAAATACATTAAATATATCGTTGTCAATATTGAAAGAAACTGATTTAATTACAGCATATGTTATTTCTCGTGTTGAATTTGATAGTCGAACAAAATTAGTCATAGAACAGTTCAAACAAACAACATCGAATCAGTTCATAGAAACATTCAAATTAATTCAAGCAATAAATCATGCAAATCAGCTTGGCACATTGCTTTCCTCTAACTGGATCTTCTTTCGAAAATATCCACATAATAATCTCGATCTAATTAAAGATGAGCTGATTGATGTACTAACTCGACCACAAAAATATGGAACACATACTTGTTCATGTGGAATACAATCGAACTGTTCAAACCTAGCAGAATTCCCATTTCCGACACCAAGCAAAGCATTCATACAACCTCTTCCAGGATTTCTTTATGGTTGTATGATGCTCGATTCTTTATTGCAGTCAACTTTGACTTGTCTCTATAATAAGACATGTCTTAGTTTTATACAATCATCTATTTACTATTCTAAACCTTTACCAGTTAAAGTTCTTACGCATTCTTCATTAACAATGCCCAATACAACGATTGAAACACTTCTTAATCAAATGTTTATATCTCAATGGTTTCAGAATACATCATTTGATCTTTATTTTAATCAATGTGCACCTCAATCATGTGAATATTCTCATGTATTAGAATATAATTCACTCTATATTATAACAACATTAATTGCTCTATTTGGAGGTTTAACAAGAGGACTACATGTTATTGTGAAATTGCTAGCAATTATCGTATACAAATTCGTTGATTGGCGAAAGAAGAAAAGACAAGTAGTATCAGATTTAACATCATCGAATATCTTTATAAACATTGACAATAATGAAGAGGTGAGCGAAGTACTTTCGATTTCGACAACAACCGTGACGACAGTTCAGGTAATTCGTTTGGCCTTCGTAATTTCATCATAATAATACTTTTCAATTTTTCTAGGACACTATAACGTCTGACGAAGAACAGAACCATCCGTAAGTAGTAGAATGGATCAAGTTTCTCATATCTACCTTCTGTTTTATCATTATTCTAGTGACAAAACGTATCGAGATCGAATAATACTAATTTGTTTAACTCTGTTAGGTATAGCAGCAATAATATCAGTGTCCATTAATTTGTTTATTGCTCGAAATAAAGAACAACACGTTATTTCAACAACCATTCAAACAACTACAGAAAGTAGTAATAATTTAATAACAGAATCAACAATGATATCAACAAGTAAATTTAATGTGCGAGAAACAATGAGTTGACTGTTATATTTTGTAGATATTTGTCATATGAATTTTAAGTATCAATCTCAAACTTATCCTACTGATCTTAATCCTGTATCAATGGTGATCGGTGATTTTAATCATGATGATATTGTAGATTTAGCTGTGACTAATGCTGATTCAGATACAATAAGTGTGCTATTGGGAAATAATAATGAAACATTTCAAACACGACAACTATATTCAACAGGAAATGGATCTAGACCAACAGAAATAGCAACTGGGGATTTTGATAATGATACATTCTTAGATTTGGGTAAGAATTTGTCATGTGACAAAAATCTTTATCATCTCATGTCATATAAATATGTCGTATAATAGATTGATACTTCAAAGTTGTTCTTTCTTTTCTAGTTATTGTTTTATCTGCAACAGAAAAAATAGTTATTTTCTATGGTACTGAATAAAACAATCTATTTATTCCATCAACTGACAATATTATCAGCAATGTAGGTTCCAATAAAATAAATGCGATTGCAGTTGTTGATATCAATAGTGATGGACTTATCGATTTAGTTATTAGTCTTGATGAATATTCTGAATTCCAATTTAGTATCTTTTTAAATATGGGCAACAGATATCACTTTAAATATAAACTATGCTCGTGTGATGTCTACCCGGGTAAAATCATTTTAATAGTCGCCTATAATTTGGATAATGATGCAAGACTAAATGATATGGCCTGGCTCACCAGTCGTGGTCTTGTGTTAACTCGCAGGACATATGAGTTCCCAAATTATCTCAAAGACGAAGTTTTAACAAATGATGAAATATATAAAAATCCATCTGCTGCAGTCACAGGAAGATTCAATGACGATGAATTCGCCGATTTGGCGTTGATTTCTTTTCAATCGGACACATTACAAGTTTTACTTCGCTATAAAGATAAAGTGCTGTTGGAATGGAAGACCATTCCAATGATTTATCTCACAGATCACTATCCGACATCTATTGCTCGAATTAATTTTAATAATGATCGAATCGATGATTTAGCTATATTACATTGCAATGGAACTGTAACAATATTTATTGGCTCAGATCATGGACTTTTTGAACGAAAAGATTTATCTTTCGGAACTCATATTGGTTGCATTGATAAATGTTGTCAGTCATTGTACGTAACTGACTTAAATCGAGATGGAAGAGATGATCTAGTGTTTATTGATACAGGAATGAATAGTATTCAAGTTGCGGGTGTGGGTGTGGGTGAGGGTGAGGGTGTGGGTGTGGGTGGGTGTGGGTGTGGGTGTGGGTGTGGGTGTGGGTGGGTGTGGGTGGGTGTGGGTGGGTGTGGGTGTGGGTATGGGTGTGGAGACTTATTCTTGCTGACACTAAACCACACCCACACCCAAACCTTAAAATCAATATTCAAACCCACAGAATCCAGACTATTTGGTTTTAGTGTATATTTACCCTCATTCTTCACATTGTGTTTTTCTAACCCATTTTCACGGCGTAAGCAAACAAGTTTTTGTTATTGCGCGCTCTTTTCTTATCACAACAACGTCAGTAGAAGCTATGTGCAAGGAGAGATCTGCTCCCACATTGATATCAACAAATGATAAAACAAAACTCACCTGTAAACAGGAGCAACTAATATTAACGACGTATAACTGCAACAAACTCAACTATACGTCAACAGCATATATCAGGTAGGGTATACTTTAAGACGTAAAAAATACAGATTTTGCTTAAAAACATCCTGTTTTTGTTGAAGTTAAAACGTAAAAATTTAATTTGTCATTCTATATAAAGTTCATGCACATAAATTTAGTCGAAAATAATAGAGAATTAGAGATGCAATGAGAAAAAATTGAATCGTTGAAATCCTTTGGTCGCTGCTTTTGTAAAGGAATGAAAAAAATTCATAACTTTTGAAAATAAGTGTATCAACACAACTTCGCTACATCTTTTTCGTACAATCATATTCCTACCATTTTGAGGGTGGGTGTGAGTACAGGGGCGGGTGACGGTGTGGACGTGGGTATGAATATTCATCCTTGGCACTCACACCCACACCCTCAAGATGGTATCTTATCAATTGAAGAGCAACCCCGTTTTTTAATGTTTGGAAAATTACAGTCGATTTTTTTGATAGAATCGAATCACATATTATTGAAAAGAAATTCTTGTTAATCAACATGTATCTCTACTTAATGAATGATACCATATTTTTCCGGAAAAAAAGTCAATATATTAATTTTTTTCTTGTAGAATCCATATTAATTTCGATTTCAACAATGGTTACAAAACGTTCTGATGATGATGATTCACAACATCCTAAAGAAATTGAAGCACCATATTTTCTTCATCCACCTGTATCAAAAGTGAGTATCTTCTTCTTATTTCATTGGGAAATCAAACCATTAATTGTAATCTGTTAAGGATGTTCCAAAAATATCGACAGCTACTACACCAAAAGAAATTGAACAACCAAATTCTCTTCATAAACCTGTATCAAAAGTGAGTATCTTTTTCTTATTTCACTGTGAAATTAAACCATTAATTGTAATCTTTTAAGGATGTTCCAAAAATATCGACAGTTGCTACACCAAAAGAAATTGAAGCACCAAATTCTCTTCATAAACCTGTATCAAAAGTGCGTATCTTTTTCTTATTTCACTGTAAAATTAAACCATTAATTGTAATCTTTTAAGGATACTCCAAAAATATCGACAGCTGCTGCAGCCAATCCCCCGTCAGTTATCACACCAGTGAGCAGGTAGAGTAATTGCTTTTAAATCTATCGGAGATATATTTTGCGAATAGATTTAATCTAGAGTTTAGTCACGTTGAAACTCATCTGTTTATTTTGATCCAAAAATAGGATTATAACATCGATAACTGCATATAGACCTGATTGTGATTAAAACTACTGAGTTTTTAATACAGTTCTCGTTATTTAATCACTCTTTAACTGCCATTGTAAACATTAAATTTTCATACAGAGCTGTTTAGAGGGTGTGGGTGTGGATGTTGGTATAATGGGATATAACTATCCACACCCACACCCACACCCTCAAGATTTAATCATTTAGCAGTGATCTGTGTTGTAATTGACACTCGAAGTGAATTCTCATGTTACACAGATGTAACATATGGTTGGAGGTATCTTCATCTTCTTTTGTAATTGTGACAACTGTAGTTGTCTTTCATAGCCTATCAAAAGTTATTAAAAAAATACTTCGCTACTTTTTTATGCAAAATCGTTATAGTTAGTAATAAACTTCTCTTTGCCGAAGTTTTATTTCTACAATACTAGTTAGAAAATGACTAAATACGACAGTATTATTTTTAGTATGTCCTAAGTGAATACGTTTTAATAAAATGATTTTACTGAAAATATTGATAAGATAAATAATTTTCTTCTTTCGTTTTTAGTATGTCGATACCGAACAACAAACCACAGAAAAAAAGTACGTACACAAAAATTCTTCGAGTTATTATTAAGTGTAAAGAAACTCGACCCAACCAAAATAATATTACAACAAACAAATGTTAGTGAGTTCTTTAAGAAATTTCATCTGGGATAAAAAGAAGTAGATCTTGGTATTCTATATGTATCTTTGTTATATTCAAGAATTATTGCGGCTAAAAAGAAATTTGATCTTCATTATGTCAAACTTTGAAATTATTTTGAATACTTATCATTTTCATTTAGAACAGCAAGTAGTTGATATACCTGACACTTACGAGGGACTTCGTCAAGCTCGTTCAAATGCCTTGTGTTCATTGATTATTACAGCGTTTTGAAGTATTTACTTGAAACAAAGAAAAACCAATGAATCAAATTTTTGTTATAAACATTCATATATCTATAGTTTTTCAATCGTTGATCATAACAACACGTTCATTTGTGTGGAAAATAAATAAGTGAATAGGATGTTGAAGGTCGTTCAATTCAGTCGTTCCTTATGAGAACTACTATGTATGTAAGTACTTCTTAATTTATTCTAAGACACCGAAGATAAATGAACACTACCATCCTAATGATTATACAACTACCATAGAATTTTCATGGTAATATCAACTGAAACGACTTTCTTCTGGATGAGAGAAATTTTAAAATAGAATGTTTGTGACAAATGTAGCAAATGCCGTTATAACTGATCGTTTTCTATGTAATCTCAAATCAACGAATCTACTGCAAGTATTCACTCTGAAATAAAACAAAATAATGAAACAGAATATTGACTGGTAAACTAATATTCAACTGTCACATAATCACTAGCGAATGAGTCACAGCCAATGTATTATTTTTGAACTATGCATTGAATTGACACAGATCTGCTATTCAGATCATTCACGTCTTATTTAACCATCAATAAACTGTCGAATGAAATCATTTACAATAATGTAAACAAAATATATTCACAGAATCTATTGATAATGATTATTCATTTGATCATAGACCCTTGATAAGTGTATCTTTCATGTATGTATTATTCCGATGTGCACAAAATAGATGAACAAAATTTTTCGGCCAGCTGGAAATGGATGATGATGATTTGTCTATGACATGATTCTCAAACGCTCTTGTCAATCGAAACTTTTATATTATCGCAAACCAAATAGGTGAATATAATATCCAGAATACGTATTATTTTGTTTTCATGTGATCTTTAATGAACGTAATGGTTGATAATCTCAAGTAACAAGTTAACGGAACATGTAAACACGACTGTCACGAGAATAACGATCAACTATTTACTTCGTTATCTTTCAAACGTGTATATTTTTTGAGCTTTTGTTTCGATGTATACCTTATTACTGAACAAATGCATTGGAATGAAGATGACAGAGAGCGTTACGTAGATGGTACATTTTACAAGTATTTCAAGAGTCGTGATGGTAACACATGTGTTCTTCGTTTTCATGCTGGTGGTCATTTTGCTCATCATTTTCATCATGTTTTTGATTTTTATGGTGGTATATGCTTATGTGATGATAACATTCAGACTGATTTATAGTGATATCGCATTGGAGCGTGTCTAGGCTTTCCTAAATTGTAACCTATATTCGTAAGCAGCTGTGCAACTGCGGGGATAGATCCCACATCCACCTCAAGATAGTTTTAATTTAGTTTGACAAAATTTCGATTTTTATTTTTGAAAGTAAATAAATATTCATTAATTTTATCCTAAATTAATAAGAAAATTTCTATTGCAGAAGTTTTATTAGATTTATTTTTATGATTTTACAGTTTATTGAGAGAAAGGGAAGAAAGAATGAAAATGTGTTAAAATCGAAAAATTAAGTTAAGAAAGTCTTTTTTTTAAAGAAAAAATTATTTTGATATTTAAATATTAAAACAAAAATAAGCAAAGAAAAAGCTGTCAAACATCTTTTCATGATGAATGCATCGTGATCTACAGTGCGGAAAGCGATCTTAATTTCTTTATACATTTCAACACTTATTAGCGATGTTATCTTATACACAAACAATAAATGACATGAAAAAGAGTGTCACTCATATATACATTAGACAAGAAAATCATGTAAAAGAAAACAGAATACGCTTCGCTATTTGTTTTTCTTGTTATTTAGTTGAACAGGCTACGAAGAGAATTATTATTCTATCAACACTTTTTATAGTTCGCTGAATACTTTATAAAAAAAAGAGAATGTAATTTCTCTAAACGATGTAAAATCATTTTCCTTTTTTTTCTGTAATATGCTATTGGAATTATCATTTTCAAACTTTTACAAAGCAACATTATCAATATGACATCCTCCACCGATGCTGATTTGAGTGCTTACTATGCTGGACTCACTTTTAATAAAAGTGTCATCGGTGGTTTTATCTTCTTGGGTTTAGGTATTATAAATAATGCCTTGAGTTGTAGAGTGTTTGGCGAAAAACCAATGCGACAAAATCCAGGCTCTATTTATTTTATCGCATATAGTATCGTCAATTTCCTTTCGTTAATATTCACTCTACTCCCAACTACTCTCAATAATTTTCCAATTGATCCCTCATTGCACAATTTACCTTACTGTAAGATATATTATTATCTGCAAATCATATTTGTCGTGATGGGCGATTTCTATCTTATACTGATTTCAATCGATCGTGCTCTTATTACATCGTCAAAAGCAACGATACGACAACGAAGCAACCATCATACAGCCTATTGGTCTATTAGTGGAGTAACACTTATTATTTTACTCTTCCATATTCACATATTTGTACGTGTTGGCATTTATGATTTATATCCAGGCGCTCCTTTCTGTTATCTTCGGCCAGGTGATTATAGAATCTTTGACGCCCTTGACTATTATACTTCTTGCTGAAACAGTTAACTATATGATTTGGGTTACTCCGATATGTATTCTTAGCATGTACCGACAAATAACACAATATGAAGTGAAGAGCGCTCGGCAAGAAACAATCGAAGAATTCCTACTAGCTATATTTTACTATCTCACATTTATACGTCGCACAACCAATTTCTTTATATATTTGGCTGTATCAAAAACTTTCCGAAAAAAAAGCATTCCAAATATTGTTTAAGCAAGGTCAACATCGAACTGTTGGCCATGATGTTGGTCGTTAGAATACTGTAGGAGATTGAATATTGTCTCGTCTTGTTTTTTGTTGTGCTATATTGTTGTTATAAACATTATATATCGTAATTATTTTATCACTATTTGCGTAAGTGAATATACAGAATAAATATTTGTCGTTTACTATAAAGAAATTGAGCACATACTATGGATAACCTGCGAGGATATGTGTGAGTGTTATTTTCTCATCCATATCCTCACCCACACCCACCCTAATCTTATTTACTTATACTCGAACTCAATACTTATTTCCTTTGCCTACTGAGTAATCTTTAATAGTCACCATCATGAACGTTGTCAGCAATATCAGCCCTTGTTATAAATCTTTTAAAACAGAAAAATATAAAGAAAGAAACAATGTGTTGATTGTGATGATGAATCTGATACAGTAAAATGAAAAGAGTGCAAGTAGTCGCAAATATTTGAATAATTCCACACCCTCAAGAAGAAAGCGGTTTTAGACGCTGCAATTTTTAATGTTCTTATATTTTATTTAAGATTACATACTGACAAAATTTCATTGAAATCGGTGATATCAATCGAGCACATGATTCACCTTTGAGTTATTCATATCTTGCACTGATTCATAGGTGTGTTGATGTGATGAAAAGTTATCTTTTATATGTGCATAGTGTTTAGATAAAATATTAGTTAGTGGATATTTTATTATTTGCGTTAGTTGCATTTTACATTGCAGTTAAAATAGTCAGGTGTGGGACGAAATTTTAAAAAGATTTGTGTATTGTATTCTTTTTTTTTCAGTGTAAAGTGGCAGAAAAAAATTGAATTTATACGAATGAATAAGTATTTGATCTAATATTTATTGATATATTTTAAGTTTCTAGATAAATGTCAAACTTGTCGATTGTTAGTCTACCTGTTGAGATTCTCCATCGTGTTTTTGATTTTCTTGATGTGTATACTATTATTGGTTCAGTTCGTGGCGTTTGCACGCAACTCCATGCCATTGTTAATTCCTATGATCGTTTTCAACTCAAGTTCAATTCATCTGAAAAGTCTTATTTGAAAGTCATATCTCGTCTTGTTGAACCGTCAAATATCATTTCACTGGTTTTATCCGGTGGCTATGTCTATAACTATGGCAATGGAAAAGACATCGAATTATTTCTCGTAAATTTCAACATTAGTCATTTTACTAGACTTCGTTCGTTGACCCTTAACAAAGTTAACAACGTTCAAATAAACCAAATTTTTCAGCA